ATAAAAATTAGATGAACACTATAAAATAAATAAAATTGTAAGTGAATCATTTCAATGAAAGGGTTAACATCCTAGTGGCAAAAGTTACTTAAATTCTCTCTTTAAGTCTTATGTTCAAAACCTGGGTAGCAAATTTAAGGAAAATTTTTCAAAAGTTTTAACCGTCTGGTTGAATGATTTATCAGTTTGTATTAGTCCAAACGGTTTATTGATTTTGAATAGTTCAACCACTTTAGTAGTTTTAAATATTGACTCATTTCGTTTATGGTATTGGTCCAATTGATTCAACAATAGACTACTCCAGTCCAATTTTTAAAACAATGGTCCCGACCCAGAAATAGAACCCATCTATAAAGATGAGCAAAAATAGATCAAACCTCAAAAAAAAAATTAAAAAAAAAAGAGAGGGGGAATAGGGTTTTGTTAAGTAATCTCTCATCCACTAGCAACAAGCATACACTAAACTACAATGCAAATATAGATTTCTAAAGATTTGACCAGAAGATGGCAGAAAATAAACTAAATGAGCTTTGATTCTCATTCATTTTCAATAACCATATACAACCTTAACCATAAATCCCAAAAATTCAACGCTTCCCAAAACTTCTCCTTCCCTTTCCCAGCAACCGTTCTCAAATTTCTCCAACACACCAAACCAAAAAAGTCCTCCTCAAACCGTATAACTTCTATTTATACCCCCAACAAACCCTAAAAAGAAAAAAAAAAAAGAAAAAAAAAACCACCTAAAGAAAACCCAAATTTGAAATCAGCCATTCCCAGAATTGGGCCCAAACTGCTGGACTACCTCATTCGAGCTGCTGTTTCCCGATCCCAGAATTGAGATTTGGGCTTTTGATTGCAGTTACTCAGCGTCATATCACACCTTCTTCGATGATCTGTGGCTGGGAGAACAATCTGCAGAAGTACCTATCAGATTTGCCAGGCAGTTCACGGTTAACGGAGATCAATCTCTACCGGATTGCAAAGACTTTGCGTGGATGGCACCATCAACACCGATTGACATATTTGGACACATTCTTGTTGGTTTTGACGTTCACTCTCCTTCAATCTCCTCGGGTGACCATAAATCCGAGATAAAAAATAGAGAATAAGATCGGAAATGGAGAGGGGAAATCAAGTATAAGGAGAATCGAGGGAGAAAAGAGTGAAAGCTGAGAATTTGAGTAATATTTGATAGTTTAGAGGCCATGGGAGCTGATGATGATGATCGAAGGAGGAGGAAGAATGGCTACCGGCAAATTTGCGAGAAAGAGTCTACGTGGGGAGAAAGAAATAAAATAGTTGAAGAATGGCTAAATTCCTTTTTTTTTTTTTTTTGATAAAATGTGAATTCTTATTTACAAGTATACAAAGCACCACTAATAAAGGCTGCTACAAGATAAGATCTGTACAAAAGAATAGACAGATAATCAACAGATAGAACTCAATCTCGAGTTACAGCTTCAATTCCCCACCGCAACCCAATTGGTTGAGACAGTGGCGATGTTTTTGGCCTTGCAAAACTTAATTTTATCCTGAAATTCAGCAATAACCAACTGTACAATCCCAGATTCAAAATGAAACAACGATTGATGTATATGCTTATTGCATTCAAACCATATATGGTAAATTGTAGCATTCCATGCCAGCTTGATAAGGGAATTATAAAGAGCCTTCCTCTTGGTTTTCTTTTTCATCCATTGCACCAGTGGCATCAAAGATGTAATAAATGGAATACTAGCCCTATCAGATATCTCTTTCCAAACACTAGTAAAGAAAGAACATGCAAAGAAAAGATGGTCTCATGTCTCACTTGCCTTGTTGCATGGCACACAGATATCATTGACCTGAGCTGACCACTTCTTTTGTCTAGAGTGTGTGGACAGCCTATCAAGTAAAGCTAGCCAAGTTACAAAACTATGTCTTGGTATAGAATTAGCAAACCACACAAGTCTGAACTAGTCTACCCTTTGTTGTTTGCTTTGAAGACATTCCCATGCAAACTTTGTTGTAAAGGAGCCAGAGGAGGAGGGTAACCAAATAACATTATCTACCTAGCCTGTAATTGGGACAATCCCCCACATAACTATTTGAACTTGCAAGAGGGAAGGAGACCTTGCTGGTGGCCATTCCCAATAGTTCCCATGCACTACAAGAGAAAGTTTAGCCTGAAGAGGCAAAGCAGTTGCTTTAACAATATCAGAACCATAGGTTTTTATTAGACATCCGTGAGGATGTCAATCATCAAACCACAAATATATGCCTTCACCATTGCCCACCTGATGCTTAATAAAAGGCCTAACAACACTCCTTAACTGTAGTATCTTTCTCCAGCTCCAAGAAGCATCATTAGGAACTTCAAAAGACCTAAAACTCTTACCTCTCAATTTAATAAATAGTTTATTAACTATGTGATTTATTTTAGTTTAGTTTAAAAACAATTTTTTCTTTTAAAATGATCTATAAACTATCAATTTTGTTTCAAAATGGTACACTTAGCAAACATTCCGTTAACTAAACTAATGAAATTCTTTCTAATTGTTGATGTGTGCCCCCCTAAACTTTTGAAAAATGTTAAATATAGTACATATATTTTTGTTCTTTGTAACATTTTGTTTTTAAAGTTTAAATTCTATATCAAATGTAATAATTAACTAAGATGAAATTTCAATTTACAATAATTGAGATTCTAATTTTAATTTACAATAATCAATATTATAATTTAAATTTTATTATTTCTAAAAAATTTAATTTATTATTAA